GGGGGGGGGGGGGGGGGGGGCGTTTTTGTCCTCCCCAGGCTCCGGAGGCTGTCTTTAAGCCTTCGGGAGGGCGAAAATGGCCTCCCCGGACTCCGGAGGCTCTCTGGAAGCCAGAAATTTGGGCCCATTTCCGGCTTTCCTGAACTTCTGGGAGGCCCATTTTTCACCCTTCCCAAGCCTCTGTGTGCTCCCTGGACTTACCTGCATCCAAAACGGGCCATATGGGACTTCCTGAGGTGGGGAGGGGTGGGCTGGGCTGGGCCGGCCAGGAGTCGGATTTGGGGATTCTCCGAACTGTGCAGACTTTTAGCTAGGGGCTCTCCTGAACCCCCGTGAACGCCCAGCAGCCCCACCCCTGCTCATATCAGTCTTCGTTATGTGGTCCTACGCCAGAATAACTTCAAAAAAGAAAAATAGCCGTTTTTACTATGGGTATAACCAGCCTGGTATGGAAATTACTTGAATGGAGGTCTGGGAATTCAAGTCCCCATTTGCTCGTAAAATTTAATGGGTAGTCCTGAAAGTGACATTCAGCTTAACCCTTGTGTATCCTCTTGGATCCGCCCTGTGCCTACATCACACACCCCACGCACCTTCACCAATCCTCACCACACCACTGTGACCCTCACCCTGCCTCCTTCCACCATACTTCCCTTGCATCCCCATGCACCCTGGCCTCACCACTTCCCTCACCCAGCATCAGCCACTCTCACCTCCCGGCCATCCTGCTTGCAAGCCACCTGGGGCTGCCTGCTTTCCCCAATGATCTGTCTTTGGGAAGCCAGCGGGAAATTGCCGTGCCTAGCAACTGTGGGATTCAGTTAAGAACAGCGGCAGGGCTGCAGGGATTGCTGAGGCTAAGCAGTGCCGTCAAGCTTTGCAACCACATCACTCAGCAATGGAAATTGCCATTGTAAGTCGAAGGCTATTTGTATAAAATGCCGAAAATTGGAATGTATACATAATGCGTTGGTTGGTTGGTCATCTCAGCACTATAGAGCAGTCCGTGTGGGTATATAAGTCCAGTGCACAGACAGCACACCTGGAATTCTGGAAGTTGCAATTGCAACTCCACACATCTGGAGAGAATGGGCTTAAGAAGTACAGACATGATATTCTTCCGATTAAAATCGGAATTCCGATTTTTTTGGAAATCGCCCACCCCCCCTTTCCCCCCCTTCTTCTCCTCCTTCCCCTCCCCTCGGAGGCCCCCTGAATCAGGAGTTGCTACCGCCGGCGCGGCTCCAGTCCTGCGTTGCCTCGGGAAGGGAAAGGCAAAAAGGAAGAGCCGCGGCGGCGCTTTGCAACAGCAGCAGCGGCACCGGAGGCTCAGGCGCAGCAGCTCCCGGTTTTGCCTTTTCCTTCCCAAGGCAACGCGGGACTGGAGTCGCGCGGAGCCGCGCCGGCGGTAGCAACTCCTGACAGCCCCAGCCAGACACCTGAGCGGAGCCTGGGTGGTGCGAGCGGAGGCCGCTGAGTGGCAGGAAAAGGGAGCTGGGCAGCCACGGACCATCCGTCTCTCCGTGCAACACGCCACCGCCCGGCCCTGGCGAGGGAAAGCAGCGGGCGCTCCCCGGGTGGCGGCCTTGGCCCCGCCCCCAGGGAAGCAGCTGCCCAGCTCTGGAGCTGATCCACACGTGACCGGCTGGAAAGGAAGGGTGTGTAGCGTTGGTGTTGTGTGTGCGATTTCTTGGCTCGCGGCGCGGGGTCTCTTTTGGCCGGCCCCGATTTTTTTTTCAGAGCGGAATATCATGCCTGGAAGTACCTAATTGAAGATAGCAATAGCACTTGGACTTATATACCGCTTCATGGTGCTTTACAGCCCTCTGTAAGTGGAAGAATCCGGGTCCTCATTTTATCCACCTTGGAAGGATGGAAGGCTGAGTCAACT